GCGCTTGCCGCGGAAGCGGCCGGCGAGGAGGATCAGGATGGTACCGGGCTGGAGGGTCTGGCGGGGAGCCCAGGGGCGGACGGCCTTGCGGACCTAGTGACAATCGTCGTCAGTATCGCCGTCGCCAGTTTTCAAGATTTTTTGTGCGTGTTGCTTGCAATTCGACATTTGTGATAAAGGGGGCCATGTCATTCCGCAGATCACGAGCGTCTTCTTCCTCCATGCCTCCAATTCATTGTGTGCGTTGGTCGATTTTGCGATTGGTTGTTGTGCCCGTATTGATATGTTGTCTCCCTCCTGCAATCTCTTGGCTGTCCCGACTTGGGACTCTTGAAGTTTTGCGTCGTAATTCGAAAAAAATTGTTGCGCTCGCTTTGTCGTGTCCTCCCAATTACATCCCAAGCCCAAACTCGTGACCGCTCTCGAAATGACATTTCCCTCCTTCCATCGCACATGCGCAGAATTCCAAGCAGCGCCAGCACGCAGATGTAGTAAACTCACCTTCTTGGCCTCGGGCTCATCGTCGGCGTTGTACCACTTCTGCGCCTTCTGGGAGGGGGCGGGGACGACCCGAGTCGACGAGCCGAACTTCTTGGTCGTGGATTCCGTCTTCGCCGACATGGTTGCTCTCGGTCCTCGTGGAGGGCTGTTGTGGTTAGCGGAGAATGGGGATCGTGAACGAAAAAGAAGGAAGTGGTTGATCTCGTTCGAGAGGCTTTGGTTGTTGGGGTCGGGTCGGCGGGAAATCGATTTCTCAGAAAATGTCTAGCGAGTGTGGGCGGCGGGTGTGGAAGGCAAGCCCTCCGCTAGTCCGGATTAGGCAGAGTGCATGCGGCAGAAACCTCTGCACTCTCTGTAGACGCGGGCGGTAAGCCAGGGCCCCTTCCCATACCGACAATTTCCAACGGGAGATTGTGCGCCCGATTTTCCGGGGCCAGACCCCCAGGGCCCACTGATCGGTCTGCTTCCCAGCTCAGGGCCGGAGTCGGATGTCACTGGACGTCAACAACCTCGAAGAAGCAGCACGTAACTCCCTCTCTTGCTAATCCCTAGGTGGTGGGTGAGCTGTTGATTACCCGAAAAAATATCAGTATTCAAGAGCTCTCATTCAGGTATTTTCTTGACCCCGTCAAACACAGCCTCTGTCCCATGAATGTAGTTCTACTGAGTAGTCAGAACACTGCCTACCTATGATGGGCAAAGAGCGTTGGCGGTATTCGCATTTCGTCATGCGCATGGGCCACGTGCTGATAAGATAAAGCTTCGGAACATGCTAGACCTCAGCGAAAGTGCGAGAATGTACTTGTGAAATCTTCCGACTTCGTGACTTGACAACACTAGGGGGTTGCTCAAAGGATATTTGAAGCCGTGTACTTGTCTCTCTTTAGCTTGTTGTACAATTGTCATATCGGAACGACTTTTGTAACACCTGGCATTGACCAGTAGTCACAATGCAAGCCAGAAGACAACTCATCTCATCCGCCCGGCGTATCGTCGGGTCATCGTCACCCAGACCTACACGACTAATCTCAAGAGCCATCATCAACGAATCTGCTGCACTCAGAAGCAGTAGCAGGCTTCTACCAACGATAGCCATAAGGACTTATGCAAATGGAAGACCTCATCCTCCAGGCGGTACACACCGCATGAACATGGGTGGCGAGCCAGAGAAACCGGCACTCGAGCAATTCGGAATCGACCTGACGGCGAAAGCCAAGGAGGGAAAGCTCGACCCTGTCATTGGACGCGACGCTGAAATCCAACGAACTATTCAGATTCTATCACGGCGGACAAAAAATAATCCTGTCGTCATTGGCAAAGCCGGCACCGGCAAGACAGCCATCCTCGAAGGCCTTGCACTGAGAATTGTGCGTGGCGACGTCCCGGAGAGCATCAAGAATAAGCGTGTTATCGCCCTGGACCTAGGCTCGCTGATTGCGGGCGCAAAGTTCAGGGGAGACTTTGAAGAGAGACTGAAAAAGGTCTTGACCGAGGTCCAGCAGGCAGAGGGCGAAGTCATCCTCTTCATCGATGAACTGCACACATTGCTCGGCCTCGGCAAGGCCGAAGGATCGATCGATGCGAGCAACCTGCTGAAGCCAGCACTTGCGCGTGGTGAACTTCAGTGCTGCGGTGCAACTACATTGGAGGAGTACCGCCTTATCGAAAAGGACGTTGCCCTTGCCCGGAGATTCCAGCCTATTATTGTCAACGAACCCACCGTCCAGGACACAGTTAGCATCCTGCGCGGTATCAAAGACAAGTACGAAGTCCACCACGGTGTCCGCATTACCGATGGTGCCCTGGTGGCAGCCGCTACCTACTCTAACCGCTATATCACCGACCGATTCTTGCCCGACAAGGCAATCGACCTGATGGACGAGGCTGCCAGTCATCTCAAGCTCGAGCATGAATCGAAACCTGAAGACATCATGGCCCTCGACCAGAAGATCATGACCATTCAGATTGAACTCGAAAGCTTGCGCAAGGAAAAGGACGTGGCCAGTCAAGAGCGTCGCGACAAGCTGCAGACGGACCTGAAGAAGTACGAAGACGACATCGCTGAGCTTACCAAGCGCTGGGAGGCTGAACGTGGCGAGATCGAGGCCGTCAAGAAGACTCAGGAGGAGCTCGACAAGGCCAGAATCGAGCTGGACCAGGCACAGAGAGAAGGAAACTTCGGCCGCGCGTCTGAGTTGAGATACAGCGTCATCCCCGCCCTTGAGCAAAAGATTCCCAAAGATAGCGAAAAGTCAGACGGCAGCCTTATTCACGATGCCGTCACTGCGGATGACATCGCAGCGGTCGTTTCAAAGGTGACGGGCATTCCAATTTCCAAGCTTACCTCTGGCCACATTGAGAAGCTCGTGCACATGGAAGATTCCCTGCGTGAGGCTGTCCGCGGCCAGGACGAGGCAATCAAGGCCGTCTCCAACGCCGTGCGCCTCCAGCGTGCCGGTCTCAGTGGCGAGAATAGGCCGCTGGCGTCCTTCTTCTTCCTGGGACCGACTGGTGTCGGAAAGACGGAGCTCTGCAAGAAGCTCGCGGGCTTCCTCTTCTCTACCGAGTCGGCGGTTGTCCGGTTCGACATGAGCGAATTCCAGGAGAAGCACACCATCTCGCGCCTCATCGGAGCGCCCTCCGGCTACGTGGGCTACGAAGATGCCGGCCAGCTCACCGAGGCCGTTCGCCGCAAGCCTTACGCCGTCCTCCTTTTCGACGAGTTCGAAAAGGCCCACCGCGACATCTCTGCCCTCCTCCTTCAAGTCCTCGACGAGGGCTACCTCACCGACGCCCAGGGGCACAAGGTCGACTTCCGCAACACCATCATCGTGCTTACATCCAACCTCGGCGCAAACATACTCGTCGGCGCGGACCCCATCCACCCGTACAAGGAGACGGCTGACGGCGAGATCGACCCTTCCATCCGCAAGGCTGTTATGGACGTCGTGGCCGCGAACTACCCGCCAGAGTTTCTCAACCGCATCGATTCCTTCATCGTCTTCAAGCGCCTCGCCCTCGCCGCACTTCGGGATATTGTCGACATCCGCCTACGGGAGCTGCAGCAGCGACTCGACGACAAGCGCATCATACTCGACGTTGGCAGCGAGGTGCGAGATTGGCTCGCGGAGCGCGGCTACGACCCCAAGTTCGGCGCAAGACCGCTCAACCGCCTCATCACCAACGAAATTGGCAATGGGCTTGCGGACAAGATCATCCGCGGCGAGTTGCGCTCCGGTGAGACGGCGGTTGTCAGTATCAATGAGGATAATTCGGGCCTGAAAGTTGTGGCTCAGTCAAAGGCGTGAAAAGGGGATCATCTAATTACGACATGTACCACTACTTTGTTTTGAGTCATTGTTTAGGCGCACGGAGTACATGTAAGGAAAAGGCTGGATTCCCCTCTCTCGAAAGTGTTTGTCAACTACCATTGTAGCATTGCTGTAACGCCGCATAAGACTGTAAAATCACAGATAGACCGTATTTATTACACGTGCATTCTACTCACATATTCCACCCCATAACCCACGGACAATATTCGTTCTCGATCCTACTCATCTAGTGAGCCTGTGCACTTATAACCTACCTTTCACGAGTAGCCATTTGTCCTCTTGAGTCGCATCTGCCTACATCCCATCCCTGTGACGTCGAGTACCCACACCCACGCGTCCAAGACAGCATTCCACAAAGGGGCTCTGCGGTAAGACGGCGTTGAAGCGTACGCTTTAAGAGGGGGGCTAGAATTCTAGGCTGAGGATGCCGCGAGACATTTCCCACAAAGGGGCCTTTCAAGGAATGGAGGGGCTGGGACGGCGGCAGCACCAAAAAAAAAAGAACGTTATCGCATATCCCGTGGCACCATGAAACTTTGTGAGAAAAAAAGGAAGACAAGTCTATAACGATTCTGTCCCAACTCTCAAGGCTAGAACTACCTGAACCCCCTCCATACCTAACAACAAAGACGACAAACTGGAGGAAAGCAGGGCGAACCACCCCTCATAGGGGGACTGACCAGTCATGAAGAAAATCGTTAAGCCCAGGTCTCATCCCTTCCCCTACCGAGAATGGTGGGCAAACCAGACCATCAAAAGAGCAGAAAACACCGTCTTCATGGAATTGTGCGGAGGCGAGAAAGCCAGGGTGTTCATGAGTAGGCTTCTCCGTCACATTTGGACGGAGAAGCGTATAGAGTTGCTGCGTGAGGACTGTACAGATTTCCCAACCCAAGACGCCCCCTTTCTTCCAAAACGAAACTTGTCCTTTTGAGACCAGAATGTGTGTGCTTGCTGCGTCGAGAATGCCAATGGAGTGTGGCTCACGTGATGTCAGGGACCACCATGGGGAGGAGGGGATGGAAGGACGAGGAAATGCGAGAAAATGAGTTATGGACTATTCGATTGCCTTGTGACCGGTAGCTTTGCGAATTACAACCGTACCAGAGGGATGACGTGAAAGAGTAGCAGAAGAGAGGTAGTCCGTTCGGCTTCTCTTCGCGGCATTTACTGGTGACCCGCCTTGCGCAGGGTGGTGGCAAGCCACTCGAGACCCTCGTAGAGACCATCACCGGAGGTAGCGCAAGTGGACTGGATGTACTATTGGGGGGATTAGTATGAGAGTCGTAGTTCGTCATGCTCGAGGGAAAACATACCCAGGCGCGTTGTCTCAGGGAGTGAAGGCCAAGCTTGTCTGTGATCTCGGCGGCGTTCATGGCGTTCTGTAGAAGAAAAGGTCAGTCGCATGCTTTGAGTTGATGAAGCCTCAAGGAGCGCCGAAGTAGGGGGGAGGGGGTGGCGGGGTAACATACGGGCAAATCCTGCTTGTTGGCGAAGACCAGGAGAATGGCATCCCGCAGCTCGTCCTCGTTGAGCATGCGCTGGAGCTCCTCACGGGCCTCGACGATACGGTCGCGATCGTTGCTGTCGACGACGAAGATGATACCCTGGGTGTTCTGGAAGTAATGTCTCCACAGAGGACGAATCTTGTCCTGACCACCGACATCCCACACGGTGAACTGGATGTTCTTGTACTCGACGGTCTCGACGTTGAAACCTGAAAGGGCGGAATGTTAGCACGCCATTCGCCTCCTCGATGCATTGACCTATCGACAGCGGGGGCGCGAGATTCGATGATGAGAAGAGGCAGAATAGGGTGGTAAGGGGTGGTGCGTACCAATGGTAGGAATGGTCGTGACGATTTCACCGAGCTTGAGCTTGTAGAGAATCGTAGTCTTTCCGGCGGCGTCAAGACCGACCATCAGAATTCTCATCTCCTTCTTTCCCCAAAGCTTGTCGAAGATCTTGGAAAATGCGAGACCCATGGTTGCGGTTCGGGCTGTGATGAACGTCTAAGTGTCGGTTGCGTTGGGTAGGAAGAAGTAATCTGTTGAGGAGCGACAGTGTAAGCAAGCGCGCAATTGATGAATTTAGATTAAATGGCAGTGACGTCGAGAGAAGATGCGGGCGGGATATAAAGCAACGAAGAGAGCACAGTCGGAAAGGACAGATCGTAACGGAGGCGGGCAGGATCGGGTCACTGACCAAAGTCTGCCTGGGCGCTGAGCGAAGGCAAGATGATGCGATGATGAACTGGTCAAGGTTGAAGGTGAGAACCAGGCTGCCGCAATTCGCAAATAGAGGAGAGGAGATAGCGGGATAGAAGAAGTGGATGTGGACAGGCGACGTGGAGGGAGGGAGGGATAGGGATATTGGATTGGGTTGGGGGGCGTGTGGTGGGCTGCTCTGCCTTTCTACTGTATCCTGAGGTGTCGTGTCCAGACCGATGCAGGCACGCGCGCAAGAGCAACTTTGGCCGAGGGGGTGGGAAAGGGGACTGAGGGGGACGAAGACCCGACTGAAGATGACACAGAGGCTGGAAAGAAAGGGACGGAGTCGAAACAAAAACAGGTGATGACGAGAATACTAGTGACTTACTTCTTCACGAAGTCCCTCTGCGACGGGAGACTGGAGACGAGTGGTGGTGGTTTTTTTTGGTCGTGGGTGTGATTGTCGGTGAAGGGGGGGAGACAGTCCAAGTGTCAAGAGGATTAGTTTAGGTGGGTGGAATAGAGGCGAGCAGAGGGGGTGGGCTTTGCTAAGATAATCTTCGGCTCAACGAGGTTGGTGGTGATTTTCAGAAAGGCCATGTTTTTCAAACTCTGTGTCCCCACTTCTACTCGACCACCGCTACAAACGGACGCCACCCTGTGGCCCGCTGAGGTACCTTCCCTAGCAAGCTACTGTCTGGCAATACTTGCCCTTGGGATTCCTAAAACTGCCCACGCTGTCATGTTCCATAAGGTAAGGTAAGGTACCTCAGGTTGCGTGCTGAGGGCCCCAAGTCGAGCTGGGCACAGACCATAAGATAGGTTAAGGCAGGCCACTCGAAGCTCCCTGTTGGCTCCCTTCTAGCGTTGTCAACCGCTAAAGGGCCCTTCTGAAGCACAAAGTACCCGCATCACGTGCAGGGGTCGGCTTCAATGTACCGTGAGAAACAAAGTCGGAAAAGCATCGGTCCATTACGTCTGGCCCCCCGAGCTAGACTTCTTTTGGCTCAGCCTCAAGTCCAACCAGACGTCGCCAAAGTGTCCAGACTCAAGGAACAGGGATCACCTCCAGGAACCGATCTGGAGAACAGCCTGGACACAAGCCAACGTCGCTCCTTTTTGCCTCCGGCCCTGACCTCTACCATTCGACTCCAGAACAGCTCGACTCTGCTGTGCCTGCCGACCAGCTTGAGTCTGACGTCTTTTCGTATCGGCCACGACAGAGAGCTCTTACACCACCCTGAGGAAAGAAAGATTGGAAGCTCCCGCCATGTTCTTCCCTTCAGTCGCCAAGCTGCTCCTCGCAGCTGGCTTCGTCCACTCGGCCTTGGCCCACAACATCCAGCTGCCCGCCCACGGCCGCGAGTGCTTCCACGAGTCGCTGCACCGCGATGACAAGATGACCGTCACCTTCCAGGTCGGCGACCGCGAGTTTGGCAGCGCCGGCAACCTAGACATTGACTTCTGGGTACGAATCCAGCTCCAACCTACCCCACCACCACCCCCTTTCGAATCGCGTCCTTTGCGCGCAATTGCATCATGGCAAAGGCAACAAGACTAACGATTGACTCCCTACGCCCATAGATCACGAACCCCCAAGGCCAGTACGAGACCTTTGACAAGAGTGTCTCCAACGGCGACTTCTCCTTCGACGCGAAGCACGACGGCAAGTACACCTACTGCTTCGGAAACGAGCACTGGGGCGCCCACAGCAAGGAGGTCTCCTTCAACGTCCACGGCATTGTCTACGTTAGCGAAACCGATGTCCCTGCCGACCCCCTCGAAGTTGAAGGTAAGGAGCACGCCAGCGCAATGGGTTTTATCAGTGGGGTTTCTAGGCTTCTCTAACACTTCCTCGTTATAGTCCGTCACCTTTCCGAGCTTCTCGCCCAGGTCAAGGATGAACAGTCCTACATTGTCCTTCGCGAGCGCACTCACCGTAATACCGCCGAGAGCACCAACAGCAGAGTCAAGTGGTGGAACCTGTTCGTCATTGGTCTCGTCGTTGGAGAGTCCGTCTTCCAGGTGTGGTGGCTTCGCAGATTCTTTGAGGTCAAGAGGGTAGTTTAAGAATAAAAAGGCGTCGTCATTTTTCGTTTTCCGGATACCCGTGCTGGGGATGACAGGTCGAAGGCGCACAAAAAAGGGATGGGATCTTGGCAGGATGCTCTTCGAGACCCGAATGCCAACAACACTCCTGGAGATGAGATTGAGATGTATAGTGTATCATAGATCACATGAATGACACGAATGGTTCTGAACATGAAGCAAGGATTGGCTATTTTGATATGGAGTGCAATACCGGCGAACCTTTGAGCGTCTTTGACCACAAGACTCCTCACAGAGTCTTTATTCTCAGCCTTGGAGCACCATTGGCATTGTCTAAGCATCTACATAACAACAATTGGCAGACAAGCTCGTTACTCGAGAGGAAATATTTGTGTTACAACATCCACACAGGCAGCCGGAACCGGCCAGCATTGTTCGTGCGTGCCATGTGGGATTACAGGAGGTTTCCATCCATGACACCAATGCCACCGGAAGCCGTCTAAATACCCCATCCACGGATTCATTAGGCACAGCTGTGATGGCACTTGTGTAGTCCTTGTGACTCACGAACTCACAGTCCGGGTTTCCTCTATGAGAATGTACTTGGACGACCTCCTCTAAGATTGCGCCACGAGGCAGGCTGCCATAAACGAGCTCGAATTCACCACCGTGTCCAGAAGCTAACATACCGTTGCAATAACTGTCTCACCTATGGATGACGCAAGGTACCATTTGCTGCGCTGCCACAAATCAGTTCAAAGCGACGAGATGGGACGGTGACTGACCGGCTGCCTGGGGAAAACTTCACAAGGCAACAACTTCACAAAAGAACAAGTGGTCATTTTACTGAATCGAATTGTGATGCAAGATTTTTGCTAGCCATCCTATTTGGCCATCATGACTCCCTCTAACCTGACAGTCATTATGTACATCATACATCATGTATACGGCAACGCATTAATGCCTTTTCCTACAATAGCCACGAGTCCATCTCGTAAGCCTCAAAAGTATGCGTTATAGAATCCAACAAAGCTAACCCCAAGACGCCGTACCATCTGTATGTCCCAAATGTAGCCCTTGAAATAAGAGCAAAACAACACCAAGTGCAACGCAAATAGGTCATGCTTCATACACCTCCAGAGTCGCCTCCTCATGTTCATGCGTTCGGATCAGACTCAGGAACGCTCTCCGTTGTCTCTTCGGGTATCTTCTCCACGGGAATATCAACTCCCTTGACAGGATGTATGAGCATTGGAGGCAGGCACATACGGCCCTCACCACCACGCATCTGGCCAACACTGGACCCATCCTTGCTCAGATCTTCCGTCTTCTCGAACTCCTCGCCACCATCATTGTTGACTTTGAGGCCGAGCCAGCGACGGTACAGATTCGGAGCAAAGCCCGAGTTGTAGAACCAGCTGAGACCACGGAGGTTGTGCTCACGCTGACCAAACACTGCAGTGCGAGCACCACCGCTAGCTCCGTTCTTGCCGCCGTTGAGAACCTGGGCCAAATATTCCGTGGGCCATTCTCTGTCGACATACATGGGATGAGGCGCAAATACTGCCTTGTAGCCGTGCTGGAAAGCGACGGTAACAGGCCACATTTCCGGGAAGGCAAAGTGCTTCTTGAAAGCAGTCTCGCGGTGCATCGTCATGAGCAAGCGGCGGGACATGCGCGAAGCCGTGATGATGTGTGCTCGTCTAGGCGGCATAGGCTCGTCCCGGTTGTTCTTGTTGTATCCAGTAATGTCCTCTGATAGCAACCAAGTGGTTCCCTCAGGATCGAAGATGGGGTTAAAGGCAATGTAGTCGGCTTCTTCGCCGACACCCCAAGTGTACTTGTCCTTCTCGTACGTGGTAGGCGGCTTAGGGTCGTTCTCGATCTCGAACCAGTCATCCTCATTGGTAGGGCGCTCGGGTCCCCAGATGGTCTTCTCGCCTCTAGTAATCTTGGTGGGATCTTGGTTCTCCTTAGGCTTCGCGCCAGGAATGTTCTTCCACACGTTATCAGCGCCATCTGTTCCCATCTCAGACTGCACACGGGCCATCTGTCTGAAGTCCTCCCAGGAACCGTGGACGCTAGGGATGTAAAATCGAGAGTTGCGCTCCCACATTCCCTTTCGCGGTTGCTCCTTGCCCCAGTTCTCCATCTTGGAGAAGAGATCATAGTAGTGGCCAGTGTAGCGGATGTCCATCTCCCAGGACCAGTAAAAGTCGTACTCAGGGTGCTGGTAGCCGAAGTATTGCATAGCCATAGTAAGGCCACGGTAAACTCCGTGAACTGGCAAGTCAGGTCCACGAGTGTAGAGATCGAAGATGCCCTGGTACAGAGACAACATCTGCGTCTCTGTCCACAGCGTGACCAGGCCTCTGAACTCCTCGGGAATGCGCTCCTTGATACGGCGTTCATAAACCTCGTGATCGGCCCAGACGGGGTGTGCTGCGTCGTTCTTGATCTGAACGAGGAGATGGACATCGTAGCGTCCGCCTGAAGCCAGTGCCAATTCAGAAATGACCGAGCGAACGTTCATAATATCCTCCTCGCGCCAGTTGTACTCGTCCCAAACACGGATTACTACAGCTGTACGGGACATCTTTTCCTTGGGCTTTTGCTCCTGGTCGGCTTTCGTATCTGACTGGGTGGCTTTGGCGCCGGGCTCCAAGTTGTCGAGAGGATCGCGCGTCACCAAGGTGGCATTTTGAGCAGGCTCGTCGACGAAGAAA